AACACTCTCACACAGATATACTGCAGGCAAAATACCAATGCACATAAATTAAAAATAAATAAATCATTTTTTAAAAAAGAAAGAATATAAAAAATATATCTTAAAAAAAACATCAACAACCCAGGCCAGCCATGGTGACACACCCCTCGAATCCCATCACTCAGGAGGCAGAGACCGCAGGGGACAACTCTGTGAGACTGAGGCCAGCCTAAGTTACAGAATGAGACCCTGTCTTAAAATTTAAAAAACAAGGCTCAGAGATGGCTCAGCTAGTAAAGTATTTGCTATGCAAGCATCGAGGGCCTGAGTTCAATGCCCAGAACTCATACCATAATAATAATAAACAACAGCCAGGTGGGGTTCTGGGCACGTGCAGTCCCAGTACTAATGGGGAGACAGGAGGAGCCCTGGGCCTCTCCGGCTAGTCAGCTGAGTGTCTCAGAGAGCTCCCAGCTAGTGAAGAGCGTGTCTCAGAAAAGAAGAGCGTGGCCGCTGAGGAACAACCGCGGTTTAACTGGCTTCACACACACACACACACACACACACACACACACACACACACACACACGAGCACACTCACATGTACAAACCTCACATGTACACCTCACACACTTACATACATAAATTCACACACATACACACACAAGCACACTTGCAAACCTCACATGTACACCTCACACACTTACATACATAAATTAGAAACAAAACAGCCCAAACTTGTCAAAACAGACAGACGACTGCAACAAAGTCCACACCTGAGCACTTGTGACTCTGGGACATCAGGTCCCGATGAACCTAAGAAAGGAGGTCCTTCCTTCTCTCTCTCTCTTTTTCTTTCTTTCTTTCTTTCTTTCTTTCTTTCTTTCTTTCTTTCTTTCTTTCTTTTTGTTTTTCGAGACAGGGTTTCTCTGTGTAACCCTGGCTGTCCTGGATCTCCCTCTGTAGACCAGGCTGGCCTTGAACTCACAGAGATCCGCCTGGCTCTGCCTCCCGAGTGCTGGGATTAAAGGTGTGTGCTACCACTGCCTGTTTCAGGAAGAGGCTAACAATAGTTTTGAAAGTTGAATACAATTGGTCAGGTAGTCAATAAAAGATGGCCACTGGGGGCTAGACAGATGGCTTAGCAGTTACCAGCACTTGCTATTCTTGTAGAGGACCCAGATTTGGTTCCCTGTAGCCACATGGTAGTATACCATAACTCCAGTTCCAGGGGATCTGATGCCCTTTTCTGGCCTCTCTGGGTATCGCATGCACATGGTGCACACTTTTGTACATAAAACTAAAACAAATAAATCTTAAAGGATGGGCACTGATCTGAGGAAGGGCAAAGGCAAGAAGAAGCAAGGTGCTTTTGGAGAGAACGTTTACCTCAGTGACTGGGAAGACAGGGCCACCAAAGCACTTCCTGGGCAACCTCCATTCATCAGCAGGTGGCTTAGCACAGTGAGTGTGACAGCCTGGGAATGCGCACCAACTCTGAGGGTGGTGTAGGGTTCGCACCGCCCCATTGTACAGATCATAATGCCAAGGCATGAAACGGAGCCTGGAAGGTGGTGTGATTAGGGTGGGAACCTTTACCATTTGTCAACCTCTTTGTCTGTTGACCCCACTTTGGGCTGCAGTGTGTGAATTTGACCCTGTGGCTGTTGGGAAACGATGGGAAAGACATACAAGGGGAGTTGTGTGTTGCCGACGGCTTGGCTGGATGGGGACAGCTGGATGGGGACATCTGCCATTGGACTCCGAAAGGAGTAGAGGGTGGCCGGGTGGGTGATGAGGTGACTGAAGAAGACTTTTGTTAGAAAGCACCTTCCTCGGTGTCACAGATATTCATAGCACCTGTGGGTACCCAGTACATGACGCATCAGAAGTGACCGTCTCCCATAGACACACCAAGAACACGCTGGGTGCTAGAACTTTAAAGCTGGGCCCCGCAGCCGCCGCCGAGTCTCCTAGAGAAATTCTTCAGCCTCCCTAACTACCTGTAAAATGGGCATGAGAACCACCTGGCTACCTCTAAGGTCTGCTGTAAGGACCCAAGGAATTTA